TACACATTTTATGGCTGGGCCTCAGAAAAAATGACAATTAAAGGGGCTTCTCTGGTGGCGCAGTGGTTGGGGGTCCGCCTGCCGATGCAGGGGGCGCGGGTTCGTGCCCCGGTCTGGGAGGGTCCCGCATGCCGCGGAGCGGCTGGGCCCGTGGGCCATGGCCGCTGGGCCTGCGCGTCCGGAGCCTGTGCTCCGCGGGGGGAGAGGCCACAGCAGTGAGAGGCCCGCGTACCGCAAAAAAAAAAAAAAAAAAAAAGACAATTAAAGAATACAGTCATTACATTTGATTTTCCATTTACCATTCTCTGAAGCTTGTCTTTCTTTATTTGTGCTGTGTTTGTCCTCAGTGCATTGTAAGGATAATCTATGGTGATAAAGTACTGGGTGAGGCCATGTACCAGACCGGAAGCTCTGCATTCTTATAGACTCCAACGCCACATTGAACCTAGTGCTATTGAACCAAACCACATCGACTCTGGGAACTTTGGAGAATGGCTTTTTCCACTCATGCTCAAGAAAGATCCAGACCCCTAGCGAAGGAGCCCTTGGTTAGAATCCATGAAATGTATTCAAATATAGGTTTTACCACCTCATCTTTTTTATAGGAACTGTATAGATTCTCTGGAATTCGTACTGCTTTCTGATTCAGAGCCAAACCGCCAGGAGAAGCAAGTCTTCACTTGACAATCTAGAATCTGGTGCAATTATCTATTTTGAGCAGCAGAACGTAGGTTTGTCAAGAAAGCAAGCTCCTCAGGCATTCAGAAAGCCCTGCTCCACTCCTCCGTTTCATGAAAGATACTTTGAAGTCATATTGAATAATTTCTAATTTGGACTTCATTTAATTCAGTTTCCTCCACTGTAGTTGAGAAGTCGGGTTGAAAATGGCGGATGGAACTGCTGACTCTGCCATTTCCTAGCAGCGTCGCGCGGCTCCTCTCTGCCTGGGCTCGGACCCAGGGCTGATGCACGCTAACTCCATGACCCTGAGAAAATGACGTAACCTCTCCACTTCTCAGTTTTCTCAGCTTAAAAATGGGGACAATCAAAGGACCTGCCCTGTGGGATTGTTATGAGGATTTAGTATCAGTACGATGATGCTAGCTAAAATTAGCTCTCAATAAATACTACCTATACACAGATATCATAAAAGGCTTAGATATTTTAGAGCTAGAAGATCCCTGAGGATTTATCCAATAAAAACTAGAATTATGTACATGACATAGATGAGGTGTAAGGCAGTGAATTAATTCCTCCAAGACCACACAGGCTAGAATAGTAGAATCAATGCCTTATAACTCGTTTACACATAGACCCAAGTACCCACGTGTGTATCGTCAAACACGCAGGTCATTTTGATGGTCTACACTGGTGTTCAGACATTATGATTCGGAGCCTCTGGCATGAATGGAAGTCGGGGTATGTGGGTAGAGTTCAAGGGAAGGGAAGCACACTGTTGCTGCCGCAGAAAGAGTACGTGGAAGGAGGGGCGTAGAACAGTGTTTGCTGGGAATTATTGCCCCAGAGTCTGGTCTGGGAGAGGGCTGTGCCCTGAGAGAACTAGAGCAGGTTTATAAGTATGTGTGAGAAATGGTTCTGTGATGGACACCCCACTTCCGATGGAAGTCAACAAATAAGGGGCTTCAGATGGACCTTGAAGGTGCTGCCAGCACCAATCAGGGGTCTTCAACCCCGTGGGAAAGCACAGTGGGATTCTCTACCCCAAGGCTCTGGGGTTCTTCTGATGCCTCTGTGTAACAATGTCCCTTAGCTACATGAGGGACACGAGTTCAAGAATTTACAGGTGAAATAATATAATTTCTGTAATTTTTAAAAAAGATAATGAGAAGTAGATGAAACAAGACTGAAATACTGAAAATCCTGAAGCTTGGTGATGGGTCCATGGAGTTTCACTCCATATTCCCTTTGCTTTTATATGTACGAAATTTCTGTAATAAAGTCTTGAGATATTTGTTGTCTTGATAGATAAGATGGGTTAATTATTGTAGTTTTATGTGCACTTCTTGGAATACTTAATGAAAATAAACTTATTAGTTAGTGCACTTAAAGTCTCTCATTTTCTGTACAGAGCCTTTGCCCATATTTTAAAATATGAAAGTAGGTCCTTTATTTTGACTTGTAGGATGTTTTAAGAATAATAGAGCCTTTTATTTGGTGTATTTAAATGTTCTATGTTGTTCTTTTTTAATTTGCAATTTACTTTTTTGATATTTTTAAAGTATATTTATTTTTAAGGTTCGAATAGAAGTATTGATACATTTTCTTTTCCTTCATGGCGTGTGTCTTTGGTGCCATTTTTATATCATTTGCCTTTAAAAAGTACTGCTTCTAATATGGCAACAAAATAAAAGGTTTTGTTGGCCAAAAAAAGAAACCCTGCCTTTTCTAATCTCCTTTGCACCTTCAGTGCTTCCAGCTATTTCTTTGCGCCTCCGGGTTCACACTCCCATGCGTATTCGCCATAACCGGGCTTTCTCACCTCCCTGCTATGACCTTCAGGGTCAGTGCTGCCCCAGAGTCATCTTCCCCTGGAGCCCCCTCACCTCCTGCATCACCAAGAGGAAATGACATTCCCAGAATTTCTCCAGTGCCCCTTTCTTCTCTGTCACTCTCTCTCTGTCACCACCCAGCCTTCCATCCCCACCCCCGACACTGACTCTATCTGTCCTGACCCTTCTTTAGTCGACAGGTAAGAGATGCCTTTGCACCCACCACTTTGGTACCCTGGTGCCACAGCCCTTCTCAGAAATCTACAGTGCTACCCATTGCCTTCAGATATCGCCAGATTCTGTGAAGTGTTAGGTGACGCCTTTAATTTCTGGACTACACCCTCCAGGTGCCTTACTTCGGCCATCTTACAGGCCACCCCCAGGACGTGGAGACATCTCGTGTTCCATGTTACGATGCTTCAGCGCTTCCGTTCCCTTGGCCAGGCTGACCTTCCTCAACCTCGCTCACCTTTCAAAATCCTCCCCATCCTGGAAGGTCCACAGCCTTTGGCATCTCCACCGTCACTCTTCCTCTAATCCCTCACCCAGAGTGAATCCCTGCTTTCTCCAGATCCATCTCAACGCCACCTGTGCCCTGTGGAACCCTTAAGTCATTCTGTTGTGTATTCTGCTTAAGAAGCATTACCGTGAAGATTTGAGATCCTCGGAGGCAGACCTTTTCTTGAGTCTTGGCGCATTTCCCAGCGCCGTGTTCGGAGGGTGACCTAGATATTTCCTAACTTTATTTAGTTGACACTGTGTAGAGCAGTTCATGCTAATGACTTGGCTCTGAGTTTGGATCTGCACTAAGCTGACTTTCTGTTCGGATTCAGCGAGCAATCTTCTAATTGATCATTTCGTTTTAAAAAATGGATCACAGCACTCTTCTCCTTCCCCAGGTTCCTAGTCTCTGTAAGACGTCCAGTGAACCGGATTCTCTAGCAGCAGACATTTGTCTTGCTTGTCAATGGGCCCTTCATCCCCGTCTCCCATGAATCCCAAACTCTTAGCTCTGCCCTGCTACCTGGACATACATTTTATTGTGACTATGCTTATCTAGTTGCCTGGAACGCCAACCTGTGTGTGATCTTGGATTTCCACCCACCCTTCCTCTGTATTGATTCCGATCACTCTAACACTCACTGCTTGATTGGACCCTTCCCCACACCTGCTACCCGGGTCTCGATACAGTATTCCCCTGGGCAACCTTAGACATTGCTATTACTTTTGACCAAGACCCAGTCCCCCCATGACCACCCATCTGTATGTCTATCACTTCCTAGATACTGGCTGTCTCCTGCCCAGTCTCAATGAACTAACCCTTCCACGCCAAGGTATTTGTATATATATCAAGATCAACTGGGAAGACTTCTTATGTATTAACAGGATGTCGTGGACTTCTCTGCAGAACTAACTCTCTAACTGGAAAACTATGAGTGATTTTCTAATGATGTTTAAATCAGGAATCATGTACATGTTTAATCCGTTATACCATACTGGTTAATTATGATTTCAGATGAGAGGAGCAATCACTTCAGAATCTAAAGTTGTCTAGGTTGAACTTTCCTTGGACAGTTGTTACTCTTTACTCCATTCATTTTTATCAGTAAGTCACCTGATTGATCCCTCTCTCAGAGTGCTTCTCAGCCAGGGATGATTTTTGCCTCCCAGGGGATATTTGGCAATGTCTGGGGACAGTTTTGGTTGCCACAACTGAGTAGGAGATGCACAGGACAGACCCCCAGCAGAGAATTACACAGCCCGAAACGTCAGCCAGGCTGACGATGGAAAACCCTGCTTGGGTCACCAGGGATAATTACTATAACCTTTTGGAGCCTTGAGGGCACTTCTGTATCGTGGGAGATACAAGTTGCCTCAGACCCACCACTGAGCCTATAGGGTTAGTTATGTATTGGTCTGTTGTGATCGGGCAGCTACCCTGACCTTTTCTGCGTGGAATTTCACCCAATCTCCTCCTTTCCTTTGGGTGTAGAATGAACGATAGTCAATACAATTCATCTGACACGTAGACTTGATGGTGTCTTATCTTATCTGTCTTCCATCCCTTCTCAGCCACCCTGCTACCCCACAAATGGGAAGCAAACTGTCACCCCAGGGACCCATTTACCCTTCGCTGCCCACAGGCTTCTCTTTCCCCATCGGTGTTTCATCAGACTATTTGCAGCCTCTAGAAAAGTTTTCCTTCTCCCCTCCAGTACTTCTTTGCCCACGTCTGTGCTATTATGACATATTTCTTCGTGATCATTTCAGCTTTTTTTGTCAGTACATTTCCTCTTTGATTAGATGGAACTCCAGCAATACCTGGTATTACCATGCTGCCTTGGGAAATTTATTTTTCAATGAGTGTTTACAGACCTTCATTTCAATCCGTGAAATGTCACCATTTTAATTTGTTCAGTAAGTACACGACTTACTTTATTTGGGGAAAGAACACACAACTTAACGGCTATTTTGTGTTGACCTCCATAGGTTTACCTGAAGACGATGGATTCTCCAGGTTGTCTGGGAGTGGGACCTCCTCCCTTCAGAGACATAGAGAGAGTCACACCACTCAGGTAATGACCCCTCAATGCTTACCTTTGCTATGGTAATTGATGTTAAATGCCTACAAGAGATTCACGAAGGCGTGACCAAGAGTGTTTGTTCTTATTGGACTAGGGAACACAGTTATTTTCAACTCTGCTGTAAGTTTCTTCACCTCAACATTCTCTTTCCCTTTGTATCAGGTGACTGCTCTCTATTTTCTGCTGGTTTCAAAAAAAGAAGAACATTCAAAACAAATAAAAATTAATAGATGGTTTCATATGAACTGTTCTGACATAATTTATGTAGTGGCATTTTAAAGTCACTGTCAGGTGAAGGGTATATTGCATCTGCTGAATGGCATTAGTATTTCCTGCATTGGACCTCAGCTGACATAGGAAGGCTGTAAGTGAGGACAACATGGAAAGAAAATGCTTGAAGTCCCTGTGGTTTCATGGCCATTATCTCTCAGTTTCCACCTCAAATTCCATGTAATCCAAATTCATTTGTAAACTATCATATGATCAGAACACTGCAAAATCAAAATGAGATTGCAGTTCACAAAACTGTTCTGATGTGCTTCAGTAATTTCACGTGTATGCGCAATGTGTTTGGCCTCAAAAATTTTGCCAAAATAAAGAGGATTGTCACTTTAAAATAAACTCTGGTGTTTGTAGAAAGAATAAAGGATTCATATCAATAGTTTAGTGTCCTTTTTATGTTGAGTTTTAAAATACTGCCTTCAATAAGTATCTTCAAAAAATACGACTTTGCTTTGAAGGTGGTACACAACCAACAATGTATCAAAGATTTTATTATCCATATATTAAAGATTATTGCTTTAGCAGCAAGATTATTTTTTACGAAGTTACAGCACAACTTTTGCTTTGTCAAATACCTACATTAAAATCGTTTAAAAACTCAGTCAAGTATTCAGATGTTTTCATGAAACCAATTATCCAGCCAAAGATCTTTTTTCATCTGAACATTTGACATTATATAGGCACGGTTATCTTATCAGCTGAGATTTTTAAAATAACACTGATGAGCTAGTGGGAAAAATCAATAATTTAATCTTAAAAATAAATCTTACAGTAGACAATATGCTGAAATCACTTACGCTGATATATAGGCATTGAAATAGAAAAAAAAAATGCTGATTGCTTGCAATAATAGATTGTCCTAATCTCCCCTCTGTTCCTTAGAGATGCATTTACTTTACCTTGTAAGCATTACAGCTGCTTTATCTATGATAATTCACGGGAGAACCTGCTTGTAGAGAACATTGGCTTGATTTTTATTATAGGACCGTCTCCTATACGTTAGAGCGCAGTGATAGATACAGCCTTTCCAGGGTTCATAGAGAAAAGGGTTAATTTTGAAAGAAGGTGCATAAAATAGGCATCTCTGGAACTTTCCCTCTGATCTTTCATGGATTTGGCTAAGATGCAAAGAGAGATGGGAAAGACCACCGGGAATAATTTTCCATTCCCAGTTTTCAATGAGGGCTTGTTTTCAAATGCAAACAATCTCCAGTTATCTCACAGGGCATATTTTCAAGGAAATGGAAAACCAGGCTCATTTTCTTCCATGGCTGGTGTGGGCATTCTCCTGGCAGGACACACGTGTCAGTGTTGGGGACCTATAACAGTTATGTGGAACTATGCCTTGAATGGCCACACATCTCTCAGCATAAATGCTTCTTGTATGACATTTATATAGGAAATATGGACACATACAGGCATATTGAATTCTAGACTTTCTAGTAAGGCTACTAAATAAGAATTCTATAAAATCAGCCCTGAACTGATTGGGCATGTAGCAATAAAATTAAATGTTGACTAAAAATTGAATTCCTATTTGAGGATGTCTATGTTTTAATTAGCATCATCAGTGATTTTAATGAAATCCCTTTAAGGAAGATAAAATGTCTGGGCGATACTGTAGATAAAGAAAACAAGAAATAGATTTAGTAATTTGCCAGAGGTCATAGGGAAAATGCAGTGTCCACAGTTTGAATGGATGTCAAGATCCTATGTCTTGTTTCTGAAAGTGAGCTTACCATGGCATTAAAAGCAATGGAGGAGTCATCCAACTTTTACATAAAATTTAAAGAAGTTTTGGTCAAGGTGAAAATCTTAAGTAGCTGTAGTGGACATGTGTGGTTTGTATTCTTAGCTGCTGGCCACATATTTAAGTTTCTGGCCTACCACCATGATAATATAAGGAGAGAGATTTCACCTTCCTCCCTTCCTTTGAGAGCTGGATAAATGCCTGTGAGATGGGCTCTGTCTATCCACCACGGGTTATGGGTTGAGAGACGTACGATGGAAGGGACGAGGATAGATGTCGCCATGGGGGTGTCATCTGGCCACAGTGGTTCCCTCCAGTGGCCAAAGATGTTAGCCTGTGTCTGTGACCGCCGGTCACCGCGTTCACCTTAGGTGCAGCCCATGTGCCAAACCTGTCCTTAACTTCACGTCCAATTATTTTGCTTTCCAATAAATCTTCTACCTGTTAGGGTTAGTTTCTGTTGCTTGCAAAGAAGAATTTTGACTGACACACTAATCTGATTTTATTGTTATTATCTATAAAAGTTACTTTATATCAAAGGGTTTTTTTTAAATTTTATTTTTTATTCTCTATTTTTTTAAATTGAAGTATAGTCGATTTACAATGTTATGCTAATTTCTGCTGTACGGCAAAGTGACTCAGCTATACATATATATACATTCCTTTTTTATTTTTTTTTCCATTATGGTTTATCACAGGATATTGAATATAGTTCCCTGTGCCATACAGTAGGACCTTGTTGTTTATTCATTCTAAATGTTATAGTTTGCATCTACTAACCCCAAACTCCCAGTCCATCCCCCTCTCCCTCCGCCTCTCCCCACTGGCCACGGCAAGTCTGTTTTCTATATCTGTGAGTCTCTTTCTGTTTTGTAGATAGGTTCACTTGTGCCATAGTTTAGATTCCACATAGAAGTGATATCATATGGTGTTTGTCTTTCCCTTTCTGACTTACTTCACTCAGTATGATCATCTCTAGTTGCATCCATGCTGCTGCAGATGGCATTATTTTGTTCTTTTTCATGGTTGAGTAGTATTCCATTGTATACATGTACCACATCTTCTTTATCCATTCATCTTTCAAGTTTTACGTAGAGTGTGCATTATTCTTAATGTAGATGTAAACAATTTTCTAATAGGGGTAGCACCTCCATAAATAGCTTCTTTTCTCAAGGTACAGAATATAGAAAATGTAGTTTATGTTCTATTCCATCGTATTTTTAAAATCAATTTGCAAACTGTAAGGACTTTAGGTAAAAGTAGTAAAAATCAATTTTGCTTAAAATATTTGGAACTAGTAGAAGCTGAGACACTAGCCGGATCGAGTATGTGGCTGTGATCATTTATGTTCCTTATGTAGAAGCCTTGGTAGGTCCAGGCTGTGAACCGAGGCGAACTATTCATGTCCTTCTGCACCCCAGGGCACAGGTAAACCAGCAGTGAAGGTGTGACGTCGTGGAATCCCACATCCTAGTCCTGAAGGGGGGCTTTGTGGCATTTCCCAGTTCTCAACACTGGAATCGCAGAGGTTGAGGAAGCCACTTCATGTTGGTTTTTGAATTAGACAGTGTTTATAAAAATACCATGCCATTTATCTACTTGCCATTTTGTAACATGTGAAATCATTGTTTTTTAAGTTTATACCATTTGGCATGATGCAGTCCCTTAGAGGTAAGTCAGTGGGGAGAAGAGACTCAGCACTGAATGAAATACTGAGAACACACCCACCAGCCTAGAGGGACCTGTTCGTGTTTGTGCTGAGACTGCAATGCTGACTCAGGGGGCCAGGTAACCTGACACAGGGAGCCCACGGATTATAAATAGAGCGAAAGCCTGAGCAGAGCAGAAGAGGGCAGGCAGGAGGGCAGCAGAGAGGATGGATGAAATAAAGTGCTCAGTGCTTGCCCTCAGCATAAAATCGCTATTTACACATCTGTTTAGGGGTCCACACTTGACATTGAAAAATGAGATTACTTTTTACTTGAGCATAGTTAATTTGTATTTACATTCTCATTGTAACTTTACCAGGTTTCACTTCCTGACGTTTTATTCCTCTCATCTATCTGTTCTGCCCAGTAATGTTGTGTGGTTTACAATCTTCGATCTTCGTTGTGGCCATATTGTATTTCTTGCCAAACTTTTTTTAATATTCTTTGGCTTTTTAAAAGAGCACTAAAAGTTGTTCTTCATATCTGTAATATTCAAATATTCAATGTAAGAAATCATGGATGGTTTCTGATAAAATAGTGGCAATCCAGGGCCTGAGAGCTTAATAAATATCTACTCCCTTCCGTCACAGCCGCCAGTGAAAGCCCTAACAGAATCAATATGCAGTCGATCCACACCAAGAAGCGACTTGTTATGTGGTTTGTTTTACTGAACCATCAAAGGAGCCTTTTTGTAATGTCACATATCAAAGAAATGAAGAGTTTGCAGAGCACTCAGTAAACCCAATGCCTTCTTTCTGTATTCATTTTATTTGTCACATGGACTGCTTGAACTATATTGTGGCATGGAAAAGAAACAGTGTGTTGGATAAAATAACAAAATGTAGACACTTTGCCTTTAATGTTAAGGGGGTAATTCTAAAACACATGATGGGGAATAGAAATTAGATAACCATTTCCAAAGGAAATATGTGTATTTCACTTGTAAGCTACAAACCGGAGGAGATCTATCATAGAAAGCTCTTCCCACAGCTGAGGTTTTGGGAAATCAGTATGCACCACTCGTGACTTCCATAATATGGGCAAGCAATGAAGGCAGTAAATTAATTTTATGGTTAAGAGTTAAATGGCCGTGTTTTCAACAGGAAAGGGACATGTCCTGTATAGATATATAGAAGCTTGGAAAATAACACAGACAAATCCTATAGTTTGTATTTTTTCCTTCATAGAATTGCACCGTATGTGTATCCTAAATGTATTTAAATGCAGAATGTTTTTCCAGTGACGACAAT